TCTAAAATGCCCTAAAAAATTAAGAAAATGACCTAAAAACTAAAAAATGCAAAATAAACTTTCTTATTCTCATTCAAATGTACATAAAATAAATTTGTGACAAGACGAGCATTGCACAGTAAGCTTTGAAAAACAATGCAAAGTGCATCGAAATCCCACCTCTATATATAACTATTCATATATTAAGGGGCATATTATAAATAGGTTGGATTTACTAACAATAATTTGTTATTTAATATTTTAGTATACTCAAACAATAAAATTATCTACATTTCATTTAAAATAGATATGATAACAGTATACATTTACTACATGATAATTTAAATTAAAATACAATTTTTTAGTTGTTAACTTTGAAACTACACAACACGCTATGTCAGCATATTATACAATAATCCATTTACAATAAATAGGTATAAATATTACAAATTTTAGTCCGTAGAATATTAGTAACATAAAATTGAATACTGAAAATTATAATTTATATATATATTATACAGTATATAATAAGTTAGTTATGTAATACTTTGATAAATTTAATTAATTTGAGCAAAATTAAATTGTAAACTGCCAAGTAATAGAATAAGTAAATTTCAAATTTATGAAAAAAATTTAAGATGTGATTAACTGAAAAAATAATTGATTATAAATAAGAATTATAATTACATATTTTACCTTGATAAATTGATTCTTCTTCACTTTTATCATTGAGAGACTTATACCTCTCTTCATCACATAATTGTTCTATTTTCTTTTCATCAGCTGTCAACCCTTCCCACCGACTTTGTCCAAACGGCAAGGCTTCTACAGACTTTAAGTCACTTAAAGCCCCACGACAATCATATCTATAAAACAAACATATACAGAACTTTGATCTAAGTTCTTAGAGAATATTTATGACGTTACCTGTCTATTTTTAATGCATCATCACCCATCCAAGGTATCAAATGCTTTCCTTGATCGATGAAAAGTGCTTTTTCATCATCTTTAAATAATTTACACGAATAACCGAACACCAATAAAGTTTGTTTTTCGTCTTCGGATGTACCATTAGTGGTAGAACGATTCTTGTAAGCATTTATATAAGACATGACACGAAACAATTAACACTTACAATCAAAATTAATTAACCTGTAACTGACAAATTATTCCATGTACCGAAAAATTTTTATGTTTATTACATTTTTATATTCAAGTAAAAGCAAAAAATGCACAAGTTTAAAAACACGTCGTCTTTAAAAAAACGTCAGAATATTGAGAACTGAATTAAATGATAAATGATAAATGATAATATTATAGGCAATACAATGTACATTTTTTAACAAACAAACACAGATAAACATTAATTGTGGTAAACAATGATAACAGCTAGGTCACATGGTGTAATTGAACATTTTGTTCTATGAATAAAATGGCTGCACTGCAAAATAATATATTTATTTTTATAATATCTATAAAAACTATAAAGTTTGTAACCATTTTAAATTATAAGTTTTTTAAGAATTAACTTTTTTTGAATTTTTAAATTAGTTTTTATGCATAAAAATAGACTTATTATTTTGAAATGTGAATGTGTGTAGGAAATATAAAATATTATTATTATTAGAATGTTTGGTGTTTCTAGTTTTCTACTAACTATGAATTATGATTAATATATTTTGAATAATTATTACAAACAAAAAGACGTGTATGAGGTGATATACTGATATTATTAGATGTTTCAGGTGTGAATATTGTCCAATGTCATAAAAAATTAATTTCATAATCGCTCATTAAATGATGTTTCATTATTTCCACATCTTTTGCTTTTTTTAAACTAAAAAAAACATGAATAAAATCTTGTATTAAAAATGTTATGCGATTATATGACTACAAAAATATTTACTTTTGACTAGGCAAGAAATACCGATATTTTTTTTAATTCTAATAAGAACATTCGATTGGAACATTCTATTTATTGTTTAAGCATTTTGACTCAAAAATTTTATAAGTATTGAATATACTCATGCATCCATACGTTAATTAAATACAAATTAAAAAAGCGGGTAAATCGTGGATGTCACTCTGCTGTACAGTAGGTTACAAGTGGGTTAATGTAATGAAATCAGCGTTGAAAAACACGTTTTTTTTTTAAAAAAAAATTGAAATTCGTGAGGGGCGTGGTAAAGTGCATTTTAGCCAAATAATTTGCGAATTTTCGTGATTTTTACATAATATGTTGTCAAAATTCAAACTTTGAATGCTTATAAAAAAATTGTGACTATATATTTCTTTTATTATTCAACTGCTATTGTAAAAATATATTATGAGCCTTGTATTAAATTCTCAAATCTTAGAATTAAAAAGAAAAAACTTTTATGAATTTCTATCCAAAATAATTTGAACATTGACGTAATTACTAATTTTTACGTATTTAGTCAAAATTTGAACTTTAAATGCTTATTAAAAAAATCGTGTCTATGCATTTTTAATACTTTTAAACTGCTATTGTTAAAATGTGTTAGAAGCTTTGTATTAAATTTTCAAGCTTTTTTACCCAACAAATAAATTTTTATCGATATTTACAGATAAAAATATTAAAAAAAGTTGAAAAATTAAAATGTCAGTAAACAGTTCAAAACAAATATAAATATTTTTAAAATTGTATCAAATATAGAAAATGCATATATAAACATTTAGTGAACATTTCAAGTATCTGCGGTCATTTGTTTTAGAGTTACATCAAAATAAGAAAATCACTAAATGTGAAATCTAGTTAAAATCCAATGTTGTAAAAATTTAAATTTAAAATGCTCATTTAAATTTAATTTGAATTTCCGATGGATGTTTTTTTTGTGATAAAGACTGAAAAACTTGTTAGGAATCTTGTATTTAATTTTCAAATCTTATATTTAATAAGACATTTTTTTATGAATTTCTAGCTTAAAATAATTTGAGAATTTTTGTGATTTTTACGTATTTTGTCAAAATTCAAACTTTGAATGCTTATGAAAAAAAAATGTGACAATGAATTTATTTTATTTTTTAACTGCTATTGTAACAATATGTTAGGAACCCTGTATTTAATTTTCAAGCTTTTCTACCCAACAAATACATTTTTATTGATATTAATTTAACAAAACTAATAATGATAGGAAATTGCATATATGCCTATGAATAGTTCAACTTAAGTCGAAAATTTTTGAAAATTGCATGGTGGATAGAATATACTTATATTATAAACATTCGGTCAAAATTTCATGTATCTATGGTCATTTGTTTTAAGGTTACATCAAAAACCAAAATCGATTTTGTCGAAAACTGATTGTGCGTAAAATTTCCTATTTTTCCCTTTATTTTTAGTTTATTTATCCCGATTATTTATAAAAATATTAAGAATTTTTTACTTTTATAAAATAAAAATACCAACTAGATTCACTTTCTGATCGAACGAGGTACTGAAGTCAAAAATCGAAGCACTTTTACTGCCCCAAAACGTGATGACAGACACAAAGGTATAAAAATAAAATAAAAATAAAAACACACATAATGGTAAAATCAATACATTCATCGCTCCGCTCAGAATCTAAAATATCAAATATCTATCAATGTTCAAAATAAAATGTTCCCGGGGTGACAAACAGTGTTTTTAAGTCTGTGGCGGCTATATGCATGACTGGCAGTCACATCTCATTTTAGAAGTTTTGAACTAAGTATATAAATAACACGWAAAGTCGAGTACAGACTTATAGAATATTCAGAACTTGAAGAAAGGAATCTATGTTAAACTTTATGTTTTCTATATTAAGTATCTAAAAAAATCACATACCTATTTTAAAGTATGTGACATCATAATGAACATACTAGTTATTCTAAATATTGTGAATCAAATATATAAAGAAATTTCACTCAAGAACCATAGAAAAATTTTTAAGATTAAATAATACTGGAAAGATAAAAAAAAAATTGTTCTCCGTATTTATTAAATATTAATTCTATATAAACATATTTTATAGTAATTTAAGAATTTATTGAGCTTAATATAAGAATAATAAAAATACATTCAGATTATTTTATTTTTTYCAAATATATGGAATAAAGTTTTATAATTTTCATTTATCAGGTCCTTCGATTACACCCTTTCAAGGTATACTTAATGTTAATTATAATCAATAAATTAATATTTTAAAACTATCCAATTGATTCGTAGATAATTGAAGTTAACAAAATTAAATATTCTTAAATTACATTAATTACTCACCACCACTGGGACTCTCATACATCTGAAGTAAAATATTCGGGTTTAATTTTCAGTAAGTACTCACTTAGACTGCTAATTTTAAGAAAACATCAACTACCATATTCTAATTTCATGATTCATTTACAAGCAAGCCTATACAGTAAGATACTAAATTGAATTAATAAAGACAAAATGTTCATAAAAACAATTGATTATATTTAATGATATAATGTGATAAATAAAACACACTATATTAAGGAAAATACATATTATAAATAACTTGATTATTTTTTTCTGAATTTATTTTTAGACTTTTTCCTTTTTGGTTCATTTTCCTCTTCTGGTTCATACTTGGCGGGATCAGCTAATCTTTTTTCTCCACTAAAAATTAAAATAAGTTATAAGAAAGTGTTTTAATATTGTTTTAACATTTATTACCTTTTTACACTAATAAGACTTTTAGTTTTACCAGAATTTCCTAGAGCTTTTCCCCATTCATCTTCCGTTCCTTTAATCGCATATCTCATCAGATTTTCTTGTTTTAGTTTTTCTAATTCTATGCGTTGCTTCTTTTTTAGAACCTATGATATAAAAATATTAGTATATATTCCAGGGATATTTTAGATTTAATCAAAATATACCTTAGCTGCTTGTTCTAATTCTTCTTCTAGAGGTTTAGCTAATGGTCTTAATTCATCACTATCAATTTGTTGAATTACGGGCATTTTATTATCAACATTTTGTTCCATTATTCCATTAATTACTTGTAGTATACGACGCATCATTCTATTGTATAAACCAAGTAATTGTGAAGGTAATAATTCAAATTGTTCTGAAAGATCTTCTACAGTTTTGTATTGTAGACCCAAACCAAGTAATAACGCCTAATAGAAACAGTATAAGTAAAAATTTATTTAATAGATAGCAAAAGAATTTAAGTAATTACATTACTTTTTGAACAGCTGAGAAATGGGTATCTCCAAGTTTACTTTGAAAGTAAAGCTTAGATAAGGTAGGTAAAAGATCCATTATAAGATGATAATCTGCCATATTGTTGCAATATTTCTCTAATCGGAGAATATCGTAAGAACTTAAATGAATATCCAGTTCTGCTTTGTCCAATACATCTAATAATATACACAATTAATAATAACAAACAACTGAATTTAAAGTATAGACTTAGAGTGAACAAACACTTCAAACCCTTGAACTTTAAAATATTCAGGCAGTTTGAGAAAAAAATCAAGTTCAAAATGTCTGTGTATGACAACAGATTAATAAAAAAAAATGAAGTGTTACTATGTAAGCATTATTTTAAGTAAGTTTCAGATTCAATCCATTCTCATATTAAATTATTTACTTTTGTCTGTGTGTGTAACAATATTAGTATTATGTAACACTCCAAGGGCCAATTGAGGTGAGAATTTACGAAACTGGTAACCAAGAAGTGATATAAAACGTTTACGGAAATCAAACCAAAATTGGGATAACCAGTCTTGATTTTTCGAGTCTGCAGTATTTAAAGTAGAAATCATTATACAGGAATGTTCTCCTGTTAATTCATTATTGGTTTGCCTAAAACAAAAACAAAAATTAATCAATACATTTTTAATAAAATAAAAAAAAATAAATAGATTGTACCTTATATATAATGGAATGAATCCAGCTTTCTTCCAGAATTTGAGAAGTGGACCAGTGAGACCAAATGATACACCAATATAATCTAAACGTTCAGGAGGTCGCTCACTTAGCTTCAATAACAATGGAGGTAAATTATTACGTGGTTCTATAATTGAATAAACGTATTTACTAATTAGTAAAATTTATTTATGAACAAGTATTTGTACATATATACCGATTCTTTCTTCAAGTAAGTCTACTTCTTCTTCTTGAATAGAATCGATATTTTCTTTAGGAAGTTTCCCCTCTTCAATATTTGGAATCAAAAATTCATAATACATTTTTAGTAAAGACAATGCTCTTGACCCATACCCCATCTATAAATATTTATTAATAT